AAAAAAAAAAAAAAAAAAGATTAAAAAAAAAAAACTCATATACATGGATATGGACCAAACAATAGAACTCTAATACCATTCTGCAGGACTACAGAGCTGTCTGTATCAGGTTATGGTGTCAAATCATAATTTCTGAATCATGATCTTAAACCTTTAATTGGTTCCATTTCTACTTTACTCTTTACTAACAAGTATCCTGATGGCCTGAAAATCCGTGTTGAAATTTAAAGTTTGAATTTTCCAGATCAAATATGAAATTTATTTTACATTTTTTTAAGTACAAAATATCAGTTGTATAATCATGGTAAAACATAAAATTTTGCTATAAAAGATTTTTAAAGGCTATTTGATTAAAACACTTATTTACTTAAACTCTTTGCTAGAATTTTTTTTAGAATTCAGCATCGGAGGAGGAATGTGACATAATAATGATCGAAAGCCGAAAGTTTAAAAGTTGTGATGCCCTCACATGGTTGGAGGGTTATTCTAGCTTCTAAGGACTGAATGTTGTCCACAAGAGTGTCATCAGGTCATAAATTGGTAAGACTTAATGGCTTAGATTTTATGTATTATACCTGATGTTATTGTATTGAGATGAATATTTATGAACAAAATGAGCACATTGTGTAAGAGTATAGTATTAAATATAAGTTACAACTTGGAATTTTAAATATTTGGAGTATGTAAGCCTTTCGAAGTCTCTTGAGGCTGGAGGCCATATCTTTGCAGTGGTGTTTAGTAAATACATCAATTTAAAAAAAGAAAGTGAAATCCTGAATTATAAAAAGATTATTAAAATATTGCTATTGCATCTGCTGTAGATGCCTACAGTATAGTGAAGAACCACAAATTCTTTCCAGGCATTATACCAGGAGATATTTGAGAAATAATATATTCATCTTTTCTTTAAAAAAATTCAGTTTTCTTAATATATAGCTAAATTTTATTGCTTTGGGGATTTTATTTTCTTAGTAAAAGACCTGTTTCCTCTAAATGTCTAAAATAAAGCCAAGAAATTTTTTTTAATTCTTACATTGAAAATACCTAAGATGCCAATATCATAACACGAGAATGATACATTAGGCAGGGTGCAGTGGCTCACATCTGTAATCCCAGCACTTTGGGAGGCCGAGGTGGGCAGATCACCTGATGTCAGGAGTTCGTGAACAACCTGGCTAACATGGTGAAACCTGTCTCTACTAAAAATACAAAAATTAGCCAGGCATGGTGG